GGGGGGGCAAGGCGGGAGGTGAGTTTGTTTTAAACTCTGCTTCTACACTACTTACCAAAACCTGAATGCCTTCTTTTTCCACCGGAGCAGTGTCATAAGTAGCTTCACACACTCGTACCACTGTGGTAACGCCATATTTCTTAAGTTCCTGGGGCGGGGCGGGAAACAACACAACACCTGCTTTAGGAGTAAACTGACTTCACTTACTATTCAATTTTCTCAGTAGGTTAGCTTATTAACTCATTCCAAAAGTTTCAGTAAGTAAACTCACACAAATGCTTGCCACCCTGTGAAGGACACAGAAAGCTGAAATAACTGAAAACTTGTGTGTGCTAATGCCAAAAATTTTTGTGCTCTTCTGCAAACATTTCTGAAGATTAAGTTTTGTTATGTTGGATCAGACTTTTTTCTTTTAAAATCAAATCCAGATAAACACTGATGAAATAAGTAGTCCATCTCCAAAAGATCATTCCTTTTAAAGAACAGGAAGTTTCCTGGTTTGCAAAGCTGAATACTTCACTAAAAACATTCTGAGTAAGGTTTAGATCCTCCCTTTCTCTCCCTTCACTTAAAACAATAGTTTTGTAACACCTTTTACTGATAAGAATTATGAGCACAGGACAATAACTTATTCCAGTTCCTGAGTTATCATAACTAGAGGATAACAAAATTTAACTTTCCATTTTGCTATTAACCCCCATCTATTTAAAAAATAAACAGAAGGCACTCACTTTTCATTCTCCCTGCAACAACCCATCATTCACACTGTAACTGTCGTGGTAATGACTGAAGCATAGCCTAAGCATACTTTATCTAGTTGTGAGAGTATAAAGGCAAGCAAATGTTATCTCACCATGTTTCTTGTAAATTATCCCACACTGAATGCAAAATGGAGGTATAATACACCTAAAATCTTACAAACTCAGACCTTACCAGGAAGTAACTTTGGAGGAACCTATTGTTAGCATACATGCACACACTTCTAACTGTGCACTCTATAGCTCCAACATGCTAGATGCAAGGTTTACATGACAAATTCAGATATTAGCAATATATGCCAAGCCACTTGGCATATATTTAGTCAGTAAACAATTTCAGCATGTACCAAAACACTTAAAGTAGCTTCAGCAGCTCTGGATGCAGAGCAAGCCTACCGCCACAAATTTCACTCAAGTAGACACTATGACACTCAGAGGATTCTCTACAGTAGAACCATGATCTGCTAACACTGAAGGGAGATAGGCAGTGAAAGCATATTGCAATCCTATTATTTATTCCTAAGGTTCTGATTCACAATGCATAGTGAATTATTTTCTTTTTAATCACGATGCAATAGGTGCAAGGAAATGTTACACTGCTTTAGATGAATCTAAATGTGAGTTCCTATCACTAGCAGATCTTTGTATTGTTCTACACATAACTCTGCCAGATAATTCCTGTTTTCAGACCTAAACAATGTACTTAATGTACAATGTACTAGACGGTGTAATTATTTCTTTGCTTCACTTTCAGAAGTATGTTTTTGTGAAGGCCAATGTGTATCTGAATAGATTTGTCTGTATGTCTTTGAAGCATGGCATCAGTATTTGAAAAAAAAAAAAAAGTCAACATACGAACAGTCTCAGTACCTCTTCATATGGCTTCCACAGCTGTTATCAACTAGTAAAGAAGGAAATTGTTAATATAGCATGCTGTTCAGGCATTAAAAAAATACATCAGTAAGAATTCTATCCTGACCTTACCTCTATAAATTTGTTTAAGGTTGCATTGGTTGGATTGTGTGTGATTAGGAATCTCATGTTCTTGTAGGTGATTTCCACAGGAGCTGGGCGGTTCATTCGGGCCATATTGGTTTAGTTAAACATGCAACAAGATAATGAAAGGATTAAAAAAAATTCTAATACAGAAGTGATTCAGAGAAACTGAAGTCTACTTCACTATACTCCACGTGAAATTCTCAGTGCTTGGAAGTATGAAGTTGGGAGCAATGGGAAATGAAATGAACCTCCTAACAAGAAGCAGCAATTCTTCAATCCAGTAATACTGAGGCAACAGAAAGGCAGTGCACTGAGGTTTACCCCATCCAGGTCTGAATTCTGTTGTTAAATGCTCTGCCAATTTCAATTCAATACTTCTTATCCTGGTCAACCACTCTTAGGGGGGCTTCTTGGTGGAGTAGTAATGAATTTCTACAGTTCACTTGTCTGCATAGAGGTCGTGCTGTGCCTGGCAGTAGTCTCCACTGCCCTTCAGAAACTCCATAAATGTGTGACCAAGAACACCACAGAACTGCTGTAAAGAGAGGGGGAAAAAAAAAAGCATAATGAGCACAGGTGAAGCAAGGTTATTTTGAAAACACCAAACATTATAAAATGAAAAAATAAAAGCAAAACAACTTAGGTGTTTCACAAGCTTTATTTTTTAATCCAAGAATTAGGTTTGCGTAAGAATCCTGTTACCTTTACTCAACACAAAGCTTCCATATAGGGCTGTTTCAAAACCAAAAACTGAAATGTATTAAAATACCAATTCAAATGTGCTAAACATAGCAACAAGAGACCAAGTTTTAAGAACCCCAGTATTTATATAAAGTACAGCTTTTCCAGGATACCCATACAACTGTATTTTCCATTCTGAATCGAGAGACATCACAACACCTACTAAAGTTACACTGACCTTAAGTAGTCCCATGAAGGCAAGGATGAGATTCCTTGAATATTCAAGCTAAGCATAAGACAATTTCTGGTGTTTAAACAAAACTACCAGTCTCTACATACAGGCAGAATCACTTGTCTTAAAGGCTAAAACTTACTTTGCATGTAAGCATCATTAATTCACATACAGAACAGCCAGTAGAAAAAAAATGCATCTAAATCCACCCATCTCAAATAGGAGGCCTTGAAAGCAAATGCAAAGTCTTTGTGGTCTAACAAAACAATGCAAGCTTTTGAACATGTTTTGAGACTTTCAAGGCACACAGATTTCTAAACATTTCACATACTAAAGGCTGAAGACACATGGCAACCTGCCTTTAACTGCCTTTCTACACCGTGACTTTATTAATATACCAAGATAGTGGTAATAGTCTAGCTAAAAACAAAGACAGGCAAGTTTATTGAACAGGTTATTCCTGCCCAGTGGTGTGCTATTTTACTATGCTTAAATTTACATATAAAATTACTGCAAGATGCACAACCAGGAAGTAGATAGCTGGTGAACTGCTCCGGGTTGTGTATTCATTTGCAGATGTTGCTATGCAAATGAACCAAGAATATATGCTTTTATGCACTGTGGAACCTTACAGCAGAGGAGTTAGTTTTGGGCCCAGCCACAGTTCCAGTGCTGCTGATGATACCTGCCTAGGAAACAGAAAGAAAGAAGAGAGAAGTTTTGTTTCCCAAAGATAGGTACAAGCTGAACCAAATGCCCATTAAATATACTTAGGTACTAGAGAGAAACATTACTATCCTACAACTATTTAGCAGAAAAAATGACTTATGTTGGCCAGTCAACTCTAAACACTGGAACAAATCCATGTATTTCTATGCCCAAACAAAATATTGCCCAAGATGCTTTGGAAATGGATTAGCTGAGCATGCAGTGTTACAGAACTGCTATCACAGACTGACTTTCTTAAAAGTGTGATTTCTAGCTTCCAGCAAACAGAAGATATAACTTCATTGTAGCAATGTTCACATTTTTTTCAACTACAAACCAGCTGTGCGCATCCATCCACATATATAATCAGGACAAGTGTACACGAGAAAATAAGGAGAAGAGACAGTATTTCAGTGGTCTTCACTCAACCTTTCCATTGGAAGGACCATGAAAGATCAGCCTGTGCTGAAATGCTTCCCAACCATGAGAAAGCAAATCCAAAAGATCAGATCCTAAAGACAACTGCACAATAAGTCCTGATAATAGCCAATGTCTTAATACACTTCGCCAAAGGGCAGGAAGAAAAAGCTATGTGCAAACAAGTCATGGTTGCTAACTGCCATCTAGGATTTGGAGTCAGACCAAGACTCCACTGCAGGCACTCAACCATATGCCATAAGACCACAGTAAGTCTATCTAATAACAATTAGTATTAAGCAGAAGTCACAACAGATCAATAGCCTAATAACTGTTGAGTTTTCTAAGAGGTATTTTAGCAGTAGAGGAGTTCTTAAAGTGAACTACAATTTAAAGAATTGCAACAATGTTTTATGTTGTAGACATGGCTTTGCTCCATTCATAAGTCCAGAGAAGGGGCAGTTCAGTATCGTAATAGTAGTAACAAAGAAGATAAAAATCATTAAGAGTTTGGACTGCAGCAGATGGGTAGAGCTGCATCACACAATGTTACGAAGGACCTTTAGAAAAAGCAGACCAAACACCTCCAGGAATCTTTTTCATGTTTTCAGACAGCTTCTTGGTAGGAATTTTTAAGGATGCACCTTAATCTCAGGCATGGCTTACAAAAAAACCTGCTAACCAATACGAGAAAGAAGTTAGCAAAAAGAAACTAACAGGACAATTCCACGTGCACTTTGTTGCCACTTCAGAGATACTACCATCACCATTTCTGTAAAGACTGTAGGATTAAGTTTGCCAGCTACTTGCAAAAAAAACTATTTCAGTTTTTATTTGTGATAAATTGAGGGGCAGCAAGAACTCTAAATATAATAGTCATGAAAAAGGAGTAAGAATCCTCTGAAGGCAAAGGCCAACAGAGTAACAGGAACCAGGAGAATTCAGACTCGGAAGAACTTCAAGAATCATCATCTGACACACCAGCCATGCCTTAGCAGGTGGTAGGTGTGCATTGAAAAGACTCCTAGGACCAGACCTAGAGAACACCTAAAATAGCAACTGAAAAAAAGAACCAAAGATAGCTTATTTAAAGTCACTTTCAATTAGTTTAAGAAGCAGAACAGCAAAAAGGGACAGGACAGCTTTAAGCAGGTACAGCTGCACAAGGTCTTGGGCTGCTTTTTGCATGCACTGGCAGATCTCATGTTTATCTCTCCTTAAGACCGCTAAGAGGAATCATAGCCAGTCCTCTTCCCTGGTGGAGAATGAGGGAGTGGAGGCTGTCAGAAACAGAAATAGAAAAGCATGCAAGTGAACTTGAGGAGATAGAATAGGGTCACCAGGGTAAAGAAAAAGACCTTTTAATCTGGGGGAGAAAGAATGTAGAGTAATTGGAATCAGTTAACATGACCCCATACCAGGGCAGGTAGGAAGTAAGAAGTAATCAGGATTCATCCAGCCTGGTAGACAGGCTGTCCTTAGTATGCAACTAGGAGTACTCAATACGATACCAGACAAACTCATGAAGGGGGTAAGGAAGAATACAGGCAGCAAAGCATTAGTTAAATAATAAATCCTACTTTTTTAGTGCAGATTGTTAATCACATCTAGAAACTAGGTGCAGAGTTCAAATTCTTATACAAAGTTGAAGCAAGTACATTACGCAATGTTAAGTTTGAGTTCTACGTGTAATTAACCCCTACAAATGAATTCATTTCGTTAATACTGACTTAACAGTTGGCAAATAGACACATCAGCACCTTACTAATTCACACAACTAAGGACATAACCAAGCCCATATTTGAGTCTCAATGTTTGCCTTGGCAACTGTTGCTGCCACATTATAAAGGAGCAAAGCTCACATTTTCCTTTGATGTGAATGCCATCAATTCTCACCATTGCTAGCCAGAAAGCTCCACGTGCAGACCAACTCCTTAAGGCAGCAACATCTGTACTATCCTAAGACAGCTTTGCCAACCTAGTTTAGTTATGTTCCCGGAGCCAAATGAAAATTAAAGACGAGTAGTACACCGGCATGCTATTTGTGTTATGGCATTAAGCCAGAGTATAAGGCTTCACTCATCTTCAGCAAAAAGAGCTGGAAGAAATCAGCTACAAAAATAGTGCTGTAGTAATTAAGACCACCCTGGGCTTAGGGGGAACTCAAATGACGTGAGCAACATTCGAAAGGCTTGCAAATACACCTTTAAAATTACCGTATTGTCTCAGACAGTTAACTACTTGGTAGGTAAGCTATCAAAAAAGTCAAGATAATGTATGAAAGCATAAGGCTGCATAAGTGAAACTCAAATTCATAGTATTGTATGTAGAAGTTTCTTTAACAGAATGACACCAACTCAGCATTTGTACCATCAAGTTGGGTACTCCAGCATATACTTTTCAATTTACATGTTAGTTTTCCTTGAGGAAAATTAACACTGAAGGGTTTTGGAAGCAGTTTCTATTAGTAACAGAAAGCCAAACAACATTTAGACTGTTAGATCCATCAAAATAAACTTGGAAAACAAAACTAAGGTTAATATGCCAGGAACACCTATTAAGAGAACGTATCCTGTCCAATATGGGATAAAGTTATGTTAATTATGATTGTACCATCTACTATCATTTATGCTAGGAGAAGTTAGAAAATAGTTTATTCAAGCAAGAGGAAGACATCTTGAAAACAAAAGTTTTAATTCATGCCCTTCTTTGGGACAGGAAGCTAAAGTATCTGTCTTCACTGACAAGCAGATTCACATGTATATTAATTCTGGGTCTGAAACAATCACTCCTGTCCGGCAAAAACTGCTTATGAAAGTAATCTATTAGACTGTTACCGATATCTGGAAAGAAGAGAGGTGTAAAGTTATCCCATGCTATTGACATTCTTGTTCACATCTCAGTAGCATCTTGAGAAGCATGCAAACAAAAGCAAAGTTACATGACACTTCATTCTACCTTCAGAAGATGTGCAAGACTGTTCATAGTTGCTCAATCCACCTGCTCATAGATCAGAAACATTTATAGAATCATAGAATCATTAAGGTTGGAAAAGACCTCCAAGATCATCGAGTCCAACCGTCAACCCAACACCACCATGCCCACTAAACCATGTCCCTAAGCGCCTCATCTACACGTCTTTTAAATACTTCCAGGGATGGCGACTCTACCACTTCCCTGGGCAGCCTGTTGCAAGGCCTTATTTATAACCAGAATCAACTATGTGGAATCACATTCTCTGAAGTCAAGACCTGCCACACACTCACCTACTGAAACCACAGAATCAAAACTAGAAAACTAAAATAAACTACATTTCATTACAATTAAGAACACCTGCAAGTAAGTTCATTGTTCTAACTTGCTACCTGACAAAAAGTTACTGAAGGACAGAGGGACAAATACCCCTGACTTTCTCTTACTACTTAAGGCCTAGGTAGCAACTGCTAAGGCAGACAAGGAGGAGTGGGAGGGTAAGGGGTACAAACTGCACGGAGCCA